CTACCACCTTGGAGTAAGGGTCATCCAAGAGCCTCCTCTACCACCTTGGAGTAAAGGTTATCCAATAACCTCCTCCTCGTCACCTTGAAGTAAGGGTCATTCCAAGAGCCTCTCCCTCGCAGCTTGGAGAGAGTCAACATTCTCTCAGCCTTTGACTAAGTCCTTTGGAGAGCACCATAACTCCCTTGCAGGTTGAGGAGAGGAGATGAGTTGAGAGGTCGCCAAATTATTTAATTACTATTAAAATCACACAATCCGTTATGACTATTAAGCGACATCAACCTGTTGTGACCGTCAGACTAGCTATTCAATTACTACACTAAGCCACTATAAATTATAAGCTCCACCAACACTTGGGGGGCATCAGACTCATTCGAGATAATTCTCTCTTCCTCACTCAACGCTTGTAACATTTTGCTCTCCTTCTACACCGGAGATAATAAAATGACGGCAACCCTTATCATTCAAAGTAGACATAGATCACATTGACCGAACCACTATAAACTTTGTCTTCTCTCTCCCTCTACTTATTTTACTGCATTTTATAATGCATATTTGACAAGTGGTGTGCAAATCAATTTGTGCATCATCAGTTTGGCACCGTCTATGGGAACGACAAAATTCTCACCTAAACACTTTATTTACAGAATCAAAGGCGACCACCACCAGATCCATGAATCAGCCTGAAGATAATCTGCCACAAGAGGATGAGGTTGCTCCTCCACCTACCAATCCCTTCCCAAATGCACAGTATATGCTGGACACAATTCAACAACTTGTAGCCCAGAACCAGTAGATTCTACAACTGATGCTCGAACAACAAGAAAGAGCGCAGTCTAGACCTCAAATTAGAGGACCTCCACGACCTAGTCATCAAGGAGCTCCCCACCTACACGCTCCCCATCTGGGCGACCCCTTGGGCACCCCACCTTTGGGAGTTACCTTGGATGTCCCACATAGGGGGGGCACACCATGAGAGATCTCCACCTCTTCCTTCAGCTCCTACTTTCCCATGGTGAAGATCCTCATTTCCAAGAGGATGAGGGTGAAAACCAAAGTATGGAACATGAGAATCATTTCTATGATAATTCTAAAGGAGCTCCCAACCACTAGGATGAAAAAATAAAAGAGGTGTAAAATCAACTGGGTGACGTCTTTGCCATGAAGGCACAAGGACCTGAGACTGTGGACTACCTTGTCAGGTGAACTAACACGCCTTTCAAACCTAACGTGGAAAACTAGCCCCTCCCTCAAAAGTTCAAAATGTCATCTATGGAGACCTTTGACGGAACGAAGGATCCACTAGACCACCTCGAAACTTACAAAACTCTAATACAACTGCATAATGTCCCCGACGAGATCATATGCAGGGCGTTCCCAACTACCTTGAAGGGATCTTCCCGACAATGATTTCCCAAGCTCTCCCCAGCTTCCATTACCTCCTTTGCTGAGCTAAGTAGGTCCTTCGTGTCGTACTTTATTGGAGGGCGCCACCACTAGAAACCTGTCACCCACTTGCTCAGAATAAAGCAGGACCGAGAGGAGAGCCTAAGGAGCTACTTCACTCGTTTTAATGAGGAGGTCCTCCAAGTTGAGGAGTCCGATGACAAAGTAACTATGACCGCCTTCTTGGGAGGCCTCCGCTCGTCCAATTTCCTCTTTTCAGTAATGAAGCGACCACCAAAGAACATGTCAGAACTATTGGCAAAAACTCAAAATATATGAATGCTGAGGAAATCAACAGGTCCAGGCGAGGGGAATCATCTCACAGATCACCAAAAGCTTGACCTACCTTTGCACTGCTCTCAAGCAGACAGCCTATATATCCAACTTAGCGGCTCTCTCGCGGGTCGTCAAAAACTTGGCCTCTGCACTGTTCTCAAATAAACAGCCTATATCTCCAGCTTAACGGCTCTTTCATGGGTGGCCAAAAGCTTGGCCTTTGCATTGTTCTCAAACAGGTGGCCTACATCTTCAGCTTAGCGGCTCTTTCACGGGTCACCAAAAGCTTGGCCTCTGCACTGTTCTTAAACAGGCAGCCTACATCTCCAGCTTAGCGGGTCGCCAAAAGTTTGGTCTCTGCACTGTTCTCAAACAGGCAGCCCATATTTTTAGCTGAGCAGCTTTTTCACGAGTCGCCAAAAACTTAGTCTTTGCACTATTCTCAAACAGGCAGCCTATATCTCAAGCTTAAGGACTCTCTCATGAGTCGCCAAAAGTTCGATTTCAAAAGGTGTAGTTCTTCTCTCACGAGTAATCCTCAAATTCTGTCTTTGCTCTCGCACAAGCAGCCTACTTTTCTCTCCAGGTAATTATGTTAGATATTTTAATGTTGAAATAACATTATTTTTGCCAGGCACACTTTTAAGGCTCAAGCCGTCTGGGACTACATTAGATTGAATGTCATCAATCTTTTTGTGTCCATCCGACACTACCGTCTCGTTGTCGCAGCTCTCTAGCATTTACGGCTAACAACGCCAATACCCAACGCCTGGGCCTACTCCCTCGCGTCGCCCACACATGCAGTCGGAGCCTCAATCGCGTGCCCAACTGAGCTCACCCAAGCATGGGCGCCCACCATGCCACCTACCTCAATAAAGCTCGACCTCAAGGGGCCTCCATCCGTACAAGCATGGGTGCCCACCATGCCACTTACTTCAATGGAGCTCACCCAAGGGAGCTCGCAAGGCCTCCTGCTTGCCCAAGCTCCCCAAGGCCTCATGCTCGCCCAAAACAGTGTGCCCAGCTGTCTGCTCGCTATTTTGACCATAATTTTTGCTCCGTAACTCCAAACGAGGCTTATTATATATCAAATCGAAGCTCTCAGTGAGTCCTACAAGATTCAATGCATTTAGATATGATTGATGCAGTTAAAAGCCCCAAAAGGCCCAGAAATAGGTGTTTTGGCCTCTCAAAGTTTTTTCTTAAAAAAAAAAAAATTAGCTGCTCGCCTAAAATCGCACACCCAGCTCCTTGCTCGCTATTTTAACCATAAATTTTGATCTGTTACTTCAAATGGGGCCCATAATATATCAAATCAAAATTTTCGGCGAACCTTACAAGACTCACAGCTTTTGGTTGTGATTGGTACTATTAAAAGCCCAAAAAAGGCCTAGAAGCACATGTTTTGACCTCCCAAAGTTTTTTCAGTTATGTCGGTCAGCCAAAAATTCAAACTCAAACTCATATTGAATGCCCTCTTTTCCAAGTTTGGTTAGACGCAAGGCATTGGGGGGGCAAATGATGGGCCAAGCCCAAAGGCCCAACTCATACTATAAGCCCAATTCGAGTTAAAGGCCCAACTCTAGGAGATCCACCAAGTTCAACTCAATGTGGTCATCCTGGTCAAGCTCAAAGAGCTACATCAGTAGGGCTACACAAGGGTCATCCAAGAGCCTCTTCCACCACCTTGGAGTAAGGGTTATTCAAGAGTCTTTTCTATCACCTTGGAGTAAGGCTATCCAAGAGTCTCCTCCTCGCCACCTTGAAGTAAGGGTCATTCTAGCAGCCTCTCTCTCGCGGCCTGGAGATAGTCAACATTCTCTCATCCTTTGACCAAGTCCTTTGGAGAGTACCATAATTCCCTTTGCAGGTTGAGGAGGGGAGAGGAGATGAGAGATCGACAAACTATTTAATTACCATTAAAGTCACTCCAATCCATTATGACCGTCAGACTAGCTATTCAATTACTATATTAAGCTACTACAAATTGTAAGGTCCACCAACACTTGGGGGCATCAGACTCATTCGAAATAATTCTCTCATTCTCTCTCAAAGCTTGTAACATTCTTCTTTCCTTCCACACCGAAAATAATAAAATATCAGCGACCCTTGTCATTCAAAGTGGACGTAGGTCACGTTGACCAAACCACTATAAATCTTGTATTCTCTCTCCCTCTACTTATTTTACTGCATTTTATACTACATACTTGACAAGTGGTGTGCAAACCAATTTGTGCATCATCAAATTCTGTTAAATATTTTGTGAGGATGAGAATAAAGATACAATCAACAAATTTTTGAAATTAAAATAGCAAAAATAGGATTTAGAGATCTTAAACAAAATTGGATAAGATTGGAAGGTTTTTTATTTCAGGGAAAAAAACAGAATTTATTGGTTATTTTCACAAAAAAGAGAGAGAAAAGGAAACAAGAAGCAAAAGCGGCGTCGTATGACTGTGTATGGTTAACGATGCCCCGCCACTACAGAGCTGCAGAAAAGGAGGCGGCTATATCTGCACATTTTTAGAAACGCAGAACTTCATAGGAAACATGAACCACTTTTAAGCAGCAACAGAAAGAGAAATATGAGCTAATTATACTACTGTTTGAATAATTTTATTTTCAGAATTAGTGTTAGTTTCTCATTCATTCGCGGGTTAAGTGTGTTGATCCAAAAAAGAGAATAATGAACATGTTTAGTTTAACCTTAACATTGACAAATTATAAACTTATGTTCTAATTTTGAATTTTGACAATCTTTTATAATCAATTTATAAATAATTTATCTCTCATGAATTTTTTAATCTCGGTATTGCTTGACCTATTGGCCCGAACACTTTGATAGTTGATTGAACTCATGTTTATAGGTACAGTAACTATCTCCGCTTACCAAGCAAGGCCGGCTCAACAGCCAAAAAAGCATGGAATTTAAGCCCACGTATAAAAAAGGCCCAAAAATTTTAAAATTCAATAATAAAGTATAAGAAAATTTTCAACCACACCCCTTCTAATTTTACCCCCCTTCTAATTTTACCCATATTTTCAAGGACACCTCCTCTAATTTTTTAATCTTGACTTCACAATTACACCTAATTTATTGTTTGATCTTGCTCAATCCAAAAACCACTAAAACTTCAAAAAAATAATCATGTAAATTTTTATAAAATATTTTCTCGTTTTAGACCCCAATTTATATTGGACCACCCTTGTTACCAAGTTGGAACTCAATTTTGCAATACGGATAAGAGATATCAGTGTGTTTTCAAGCCCACCATATTCAGGGTTTTTAAGATGCCAACGGCTAGCATTAGATACGATTTATACGAAGTAAACTAATAATAACTGACAAGTTGAGAAGACATAAATTTGTATGAAAACCGAATCCACCAGAATCCACACTGGCAGCAGAAAATTGTATCCCAAAAAAAAAAAAAAAAAAAAAAAAGACATTCAATAATGGATAGGGTTAACTAGAGCTTACAACCCATAGATGCCCGTGAACTTTCAGGCTTTGCATTATTAGAAACAACACTAGTGAAATTTAAATTCAGCAGGCATCCAAATCCCGGCATGGAGGAGGCTTTGGCTCGCCTAACAATGTAGTATTCCCTCCTTCCGGCCCAGAATTGAAGCGCTTTGGGTTCTGGGTGCCACGCTGCAAATGTAAAGGGTAAATCAAACAATATATCTAAGGAGGCAAAAATACATCCCACATTCTATTGATTTTCCATTGGGAGAACAAATAAGCTTTATATACCCAATCCATTTGGCTTACCGGTGGCTTTTCCCCTCTTTTTAAAGCATCCACTATTTCTACAACTCGCTTTGGAGTGACATCTTCCTGCATTACCACACAAGACTTATGTGAGGTTCCAATAAGCTTTTTATTGCTTAATGTTACAAGAAATAAACAGTGCAAATTAGAAGGGATATTGATGTACTCACATAATAGTTGTAGGTGTATCCTTCTGACCCATTGGAATAATCAGCTACTGTAATCATAGGAGCATTTACACAGCATCCCTGAAAGAACCAATTAAGATATGTTGCAGTGGGCATTGTTCATCAAGAATAATTTCGCCCCAAACCAGTCAACCAGATCAAAATGGTAAAAAGCTTCTCAATACACCCCTCTTAATGCTTATACAAAATAGCATTACATAGAAGGGGTATGAAACGAATTTGCCTTCTTGGCTTCATATTTGCCTCGTCTAAATTTCACATCAATTAAAGTGACCTATGATAAATGAAAACTAAAATTTCACAGGTTTTCAAGGACACTCACAGCAGATGTCACCACTCAACCTTTTGTTGGCACCTGGTCTCCACAGACACCAGATGCACTTTTCAAATAAAAAAAAAGAAACCATACCCAAAAAGTAAATCCCCATATGGCTGCTTTGACTTTATAGACCTTGACACATGAAATTCTCCTATGGCATGTTAAACTTTCCAATAAGCAATGAGGTGAGCTACAGTTTCAACACACTGGTGTTGGACAGACATTGCAAACAGCCTCAAGGTTGTCTTTGACTAAGACACATAAAACATCTTGCGCAGCTTATGCTATACCTCAACTCCTACTTACCATTTTGATGAACTGATGCTTGCATGTGCCACAGGAAGGCCCAAATTGCTTTCTTTATATATTGTGCATCCACATACCACCATCGACTCACCCTCATCAGAAATTTTAGGGAGAGAATACCAATAATGCAATCACAACGTAATGCCTCCAATCTAGTTGTGGCCGTGAAGCTAGCGAGGGTCCCTTGGATTTGTGGCTATGTGATTAGGTCCAAGGGCTAGAAGTATGGGTTGTAAGGCTACCAGCGACAAACTATACCAAGCTCATTATCCAGAGGAAAGGAGGAACCTGAGATCCAAGCTGGAATCTGAGATCCCAACTCTGATGACCTTTAACTTGGAATTCACACCCTTACACTAGACTCTCTCCCTGTCCTTAAAACCTCCCCATAGCAACTTTCCACTCATTGCAATCAGCATATTCTGCGTATTACCTTCTGAGTAGTTAGTACAACCACTTTCTCAGAAAAATCAAAGGGACTGCCAGTTTAAATGATTTTCTTTTGAATTTTTGTCATCACAATTCCCAACACCAGTCAAGCCAACAAATATTAAAGTGGCCGCAAAAGAAGAGGTTCAAAAGACTCACCATACATTCCATTTCTCCAACAGAAAACAAGCCATCCTTTGTTACTTCTGTACATTACAGAAAATAGACCTCAATTCAGAATGAAATTTAAATTCAAAATCAGAGAAAAAACTAGCAAATGTGGTGGCAAGACCTACCACCGCGCTTCACTCCTAAATGCTTTAGTAGTGCATCTTCAATTTCTCTTGAACCACGTATCATACATGGTGTTGTGCCACAAACCAAAAGGTGGTATTTGCCAACCTACAAACTCATAAGAGAGGTTTAGTAGGGTAAGCACAAGTTTGCATAACAAATTTATTGGTCATACATTGCCTATGTCTACACAAAAGACAGTCCCTTACCTTCAATCTGTTGAACATTGAATAGAATGTCGCAACCTCATATACACGAATAGGAGCAACTTCAATAATCTTAGCCACCTGAAGACATTCAAACAAAGTATAGTAGGTGAGTAAAAACTTACCAAGGCGCATAATAGTTAAGTTTTATCATCATATTCTCCTACCTTCAGCTTAACAGCAAAAGATGAGTAAATAAACAAGTAAACAAATCGGTTGCAACTAAATCTTGACTATCACATTGATCACAAATTGCCTACAGATACAATTGAATACATTGCAGTTTCTCTCTCTCTCTCTCCCCAAAAAAAAAAACCCAATGGAAAGACCGGTAACAGCACAATTTCCCGATGAATCTTCGTCATCATTCCTCGAAAAAGAAGATCATCAGTGATTCTTTGAAGATATAAAAGGTTTACTTGATTAGAGCAACACTAGCGCAGTTCCTCAAGAAGACACCACGCGTGTTTAGTGAAGTAATACAAGTGTTTCCTTCAAATGGCTCCAGGATTACAAGGTCTCGCCCAAATCCTTGACTACTCATTAAGGATGTATATATTCTCTTCAGCAACGCAAGGGTTTAATAAAATATCCACCATTGCGACAAAAATAAAACTTATGTTAATAGATATGGCAAAATATTTCATGATGAGCAATATAAGTAACTCTTGTCAAACCTTCATAAAAACTATTGAAAGTCAATTCTAGTTGGCAGCAAGATGAAAAAGGGGGCGGCCGAGGCTCCACCACTACAAGGTCTGGGGAGGGTAAGATGACCTCAGCCTTTCCCACGCATGTCGGTACACCCTAAGTCAGAACACTAAAATTGACTGGATGCCGAGTGTAGCTCAACACAAGGAAGCACAAACACTTCATTTTGGGCAGAGTGTCGGTGTCGTACACACTTCAGACACGTTAAAGTGAGTGTGATTTTTTTATTGTTAATTTTTTTTTAGGACACGCGGCTGACACGTTGGGACACGCTGGGGGAACACATTTTGAGATTTATTTTTAATTTATTGAAAACTTTTCAGATAATTTTATAATTAAGAGTTTTTTTTATAATTATAAAGAGATATGAGTTACGATCATAATATAAAAGAAATTATAATAATTACATTAAACATAAGACATGAATTTAACATAATTTTGGATACGAATACGAACTTATATACAAATGGAATAGTCTTATAATATAAAAATAATGTAAGAAAAAATTGGATTACAAAATTGGAACTCTTAGAATTTGATGAAAATTAATATTACGAAATTAAATATTTTTTAAAGTAAAAGTTGTAGAAGTCATTGAGTATTGAATCATGGATGTTAATGTTGAATGTGTATCAATATATCTTATATTGTACTTTTTATGCAGTGATATCATGATGTGAGTTTTAGAATTAGAGAAATAATGAATTAAAATATTATTATGAAAATATTTTTATTTTATCACATAATTTTATATATATATACACACACACACATATATATATATAACACATATCGCTAACGTGTCCGTGTCCTACTCTTTTGAAAAATTTTGTGTCGGCGTGTCCATATTGTGTTGTATCCGTGTCCGTGCTTCTTAGGCTCAACATATCAAGAGAAGACTTCTGAGTCTTTCAATTTGGCCTAAACCACCATGAATCACATATAGTTTTTCCTAAAATTGAACAGCAGGTCAACTAACATGCTAATATTATTAAAGACTACAACTTGGATTTTTTAAAGCATTTTGATGTGCAAGTACAAGCAACCAACAAAATAGTAAACATCATATTTATACCTAAATTATTGAAGTAGCTCATCACAAAGCATATCGATAACCTTTTGATACTCCGATGATTGTTGAATGTCAAATATGAAGCAAATCTATCTCATTCATGAAACCACATGAATGACAGATTCTCACCACATGTGTGAACCTTTTCACCCACTCATGTATCAAGAAAGAAACGCTTTGAGGAATTACATGAGTTTATGTTACATACTGCATTCATGGCTGAAACAGGAAGCCACCCTCCATGTTGCTGTTGCGCAAGATCCAGCAACGGAATGACTGCAGATTGCTTGTAATTTGATGGATAATGTGATAATATTTCCTTCGCCTACATAGAATCAACTCATGATGCACTTAGAATTTGTAGGATAGTAGATTAATCAGTCAATCCTACTCATGACATGTAAGAAAATATGCTTCTGGTTGAATTAGTTGCGGCTCCAATTAGCTGCATGTCAACTTGCTTTTCAAGATGGCAGAAAATCATCTCTACAACATGAAGAGGGGATTGGGAAACCAATGCCTTCTGACAACAGCCTTCCAGATACATTGCTATCAGAAAATGATTCAAGCTAAATCAACACATTCTACGGTAGTGAATTCATTATAACCTTCTGAGCAATAGTGACTTGCAAAGCCACAACACACTTACGGCAAGATAAAGAGTTAAATCTCGGAAACAGAATCCAAAAAGAAGTCTTCATGCCAGTTGCAATTTTTTCAGAGCCTTCAAGATGTGGTCCCCCTTCATTTAAAAGGAGGACTCAAAATTTGGGCAGGGCAAGCTTAAGAACTGCCAAGCACCCTTGAATCAATGAAGGACACTATGATTAGTATTATCAATAATAGCAATTTCACATGGTATAAATGTTTTTGCAGTTGATATGACGAAAAGCTATGAAAACTGACAGTCTGAAACTCATTTGAAGAACTCTATGCATAGCCAAGTCAGGATAACCTNTAACTGGGTGAAGAGTGGTGCTAATGATTTTAGGAAGCTGGGACTGAGCTTGTAGTTGATATGATGAAAAGCTATGAAAACTGACAGTCTGAAACTCATTTGAAGAACTCTATGCATAGCCANAGTTGATATGACGAAAAGCTATGAAAACTGACAGTCTGAAACTCATTTGAAGAACTCTATGCATAGCCAAGTCAGGATAACCTACCATTCAGATTGAATTTAACAGATACTTGGCAAGAAACTATAAATTGGATTTGGACCAAATTGTCGAAAACAGAAACATATTGCCTGCATTCAGAGCTCGATGTTGATGCATACAATGAACATGAAATCCGCATTGACGGGCAAAAGATAAACAAAGGTCCAATCCCGAAAACTACGATAGAAAGACTTCGTGTATATTTGTACATACTTATAAAAAAAATAGTATTTCTTGTTCAATTTCATATGGCTAATCCAACAAGCTGTTCGATAGTATCAAATCGTTAGTGTCGCTAACCTTCTCTTTATTCCCATCGGTGAATTCCCATGGAAGGTCCGGGTTGTTATCTGGTGTATCAAGGTGCTGCACAAACACTCATACATGTAAATAAAATCCCTAAATATACAGCGATTGATTAGTGTGTGTATGTGTATATCGTATATATCTACACACATTGGATAATCAAATGTATTTATTGAGCGATTAGTTCGAACTTACGTAGTTTAGAGCAGTGGAGAATGATCGAGACCTCTGAAGGACACGGAAAAACACAAGAAATGTTTAAAGAGTTGACATCGATTTCACAAATCAAATCAGGGGAGAAAATCCACGAAAAAAAAATTAAAGGAAATAGGCAAGAGACCTGAGGAAATTGACGGAATGCTTGACGTATCTCGAACAGGCGTTGGGGGGCGAGGCGAGCCAGCATTTTCGATCTCCCGCAGTTATGTGAGCTCAGCTGAGAAAGTGAAGAGAAGGGGAAGGAGAGATGTGAGGTCAGAGACGCCGCGGGGGGGGGAGGGGAAGAGTCCTCTCTGTTCGTGGGTGAAGTGAGAGATTCTAACGTCTACGGGGTGCGTAGAACGCACATGGCGCATTGGATTGAACGCATGCCCTCCACTGGGTCAGTAAGATCGGCCCATAATAGTTTGCGGGCTTTATGAATAAACTACGTAATTTTCCTTAGCCCAAAGCAATCCCCTAATGAACTGGGGATTTTTTGACTGTGGGTATAATTTTTTTGACTTATTTATAAAAAAATGTATGTATAAATTATTTACTCTATTAAATTCTATTTTAATTAAATATATTGTGTTTAGGTACAAAATTCAAAATGAATCAAAATTATTTTACTTAAATACCCNATTAAATTCTATTTTAATTAAACATATTGTATTTAGGTACAAAATTCAAAATGAATCAAAATTATTTTACTTAAATACCCTTACTTAAATTATACATTTTTAATTGATAGTTATATATCTAAACAAATATGTAAATATTTCATTTGACTCTCTCACTATTTCTCCCCTATTTTCTTTCTATATCTATTACTAATAATTTTTTTTTTTCAAATATGTAAAAATTTGATTTATTTTTTTATTTTTCTCACCAATTTTCTCTAATCATTTCTTTCTCTTTACATTTTCTCTCTATTTATATCAACAACACAATTATACTAATTAGTTATAATTTTTTTATAATACACAAAACAATTACTCATACATTATAATAAACAAAACAGTTACACAAAACAATTGCACAAATTTATAACATCAACCCAATTTGTCATTTAGTTGCACTATTTAGTATCACGACATCATTACACCAATTATATATATCAAATTTAATATAATTATAAAGTCTTTTGTGTAATAATAAACTCAATTTGGTGTATATAATTTGTGTAATCATATCGTGATACTAAATGGTGTTACTATTTGATTTATGTAAATAAAAAAATTACAAATTGGGTTAGTGTTGTAAGTTTGTATAATTATTTAGTGTAATTGTTTGTTTTATTATAATACATGAGTAGTTGTTCGTTGTATAATAAGAGATTTGTAACTAATTAATGTAATTGATTAGTGTAATTATGTTATGTAACGTTGATGTAAGGAGAGAGAAAAATGAAAAGAATAAGGAAATAAATGAAGAGGAAGCGAGAGATAAAGAAAAAATAGTGGGAGAGATGAAAAAATTAAATCAAATGTTTACATATTTTTAAAAAATTATCAATATGAGAGAAAGAGAGAGAGAGAGAGAGAGAGAAATAGATAGAGAGAAAAATAGGGAAGAGAGAATGAAAGAGTAATAGAGAGAAAGTAATGAAATAATAAATATCTTTTTTGTCTTTTTTTTTTAAAATGCACTTAACACCAAATAATTTTTTTTAATATAGTTTAGCTCAAATAAATCAAAATTTTTATATCGATTTCCAAATTACTTCTGAACTAATTGTCTATGACCCAATTAACCCACAATCTTACAAATAAAACAAACACGTGAACTTCTAAACCCAACATATGCATATAACAATGACTGTGGTAGTTATTGTATTATACGAGATTTAATTTATCCAAATGATGTTCATTATTTTACGATTATGTTGTGTATCAGTGATGAGGTGTTATCATTGTCTATCGACAAGATTAAGATTTTGTTGAGTTGAGGATATTAAAATGGTGATTTATTAGTTTTACAAAATGTTCATTTGATGATGTGGTATTATCGTTAAATTGTGTCAATTATTAAATTGGGTATGTTTTATAATAAGGAGTGTCAAAATATAACACGACACATTAACATAATATGAAGTTAGAGAGTTTGAGTCTTTTTTAAGCAATTTGTTTCGTAAACGAGTAGACACGACTAATAAATAAATTGTGTATGGATAAAATCAATTAAAAGAAATAAATTATATGACTCCTTTATATATCGATTATACTCGATACGACATGAATTAATAAACGAATTTGATATGAGTCGAATATTTTTTAATACGGACTCGTTAAGACTCTATACAAACCCATTTCAATCGAATCTTCTCACGTCTCGGCCTCTAGGTTTGCTATCTCTACAACCCAAGCCCAATTTGCTTTTAGACCAAAAATCTGACCCAAAGCCCACGCCATTTGCTTGACCGTTCGAGTTTACACAGAATCTAAGGATCAATAGGTGCTGCGTTGGATTATCTCTCGAATCCGAATCCGAATCCGACCCGACCCGAACCCTCCCACCCTCCACACTGCCCTTCTTCTTCCCTTCCTGCGCACAATCCATTTCTCAGCTTCCCGCGCACGGAGAGGTCAATGGCGGTAGAACAAACTCTAGTGTTAACAAAGCAACTCTTTTGTAACCACAAAGCTCCTCTGACTAATTATCATATACCGTCTGTGTGCCCAATTGCTCGTTCTTTATCTTTTCGTCGATTTGAATCGAAGAGGGACAGACTATTAGGTTTTGCTTTTAATGGCGGTTTGAAATGTTCGATGGATTATAACAACAATAATGACCACTACGAACGAGTAGTGGATCCACAGTACCCAAGACCATCGGAGATTCAGTGGAAGAAGGAGCTCTGCAATTCTCTACAGCTCATCGGCACCGTTGCAACTCCGGTACAAATCAAGTACCTCAGCTCCGGCAAGGTTTTGGCTTGGTCTCGCCTCGCCGTCAAGAAAACCTCAACCGAAACCACCTGGTAATTTTTTCATGTACTTCTGATGGTTTCGCGCATGTGATTGTTTGATTTTGTCCCCTTAGTTCTTTGGTGTTAATTGGTTGGAAAAGGTTTTTATCTCGAAGTCAATTGGCATTGTAGATAACCCCAAAATATAGATAAGATGAACACGAACCTACTTCAAAAAGCTGAAGGTCCTGAGTTGGGTCACTTACAAAGGATTTGCGTTTGTTTGTGCATTGCTATTGCGAGATGCATTCCGAGATTACTCGGATAGTCCGAGAGGTCTGGTACCACTACACTCGTAAGAAAAAGTGGTTGGCTTAATCACTCTCTGTGATTATGCCTATTTGTAGATCATGGAATATATTTCGGTATTGTTTGCATATGGGTGCATCATGCATGCTTTTGACGAGAAGTTTGGTTTTGTTTTGCAAGCGCCGTAAGATCACTTAAGCTTATCTATTCATCTGATGAGTTGATGTCTTCGGAGTGGACTCAAATCATTATTCCGTTTTTTGTATTTTTTATGGCATGTCTCTTAGGTGCTTGTAATCTGCTTGCAAGTGTGAAGTATAGCTAGAAACTTGAAAGATTGAGTTAGAATAACATTTTTAATAACTTATAGAAACTTAAAGATTAATATAGAGTAATAGAAGGAATGTATTGTAGAAAATAGTTGGGATGCATTATGAGCGTACGAGTCCTTCGTGAGATATTCTTATGGGCACATCGTTTTCCTCAGTGTTAGTTAGAATGCAGCAGTGTGATAGTGTAAGGCTTTTTTGATAACAAGGTTGGAATGTAAATATGTTAGTTCCAAATGTGGAACATTGTTCAGTAACGTCTATATACTAGGGGTAATTTGTGCCTGAAGGCACAGTACAACGTAAGTGAAAAATGATGGATTTTGGGAGGGAATTCAACGTAAATGGTTTTGAAAAGGATGTTGGTAACCGTTGGATGAGTTTATTTGAGACCGTTGGATGGATTTATTGAAGTCTGTCTTATTTAATATTATAGATGTTCGCATCAACAAAAGCTTAATTTAAATCTGATAGCACATATGTGGATAGCACATCATAAGACTCTCCCTAGAAGCTTAAATAGGGGTCAACGAATCTATCAATCATCTGACCAATTAACTGTAAAACAGAGCAAACTTGAGAGAAAAAGGGCCTTGCTCCATTAAGGCCTCTATTGCAGCGGCGTTTATCTCTCTCTCTCTCTCGCACAAAAAAAATTTGCTAGTAATCCATAGATCTTTCTTTGAGTCATGTTGCCAAAATTGTTTGGTCGTTTTGTGGGCAATTGAACTTCAACTATTTATGAGATCACAATTAAATCTCAGAGGTAAGTCATTGTATTCTTTAGACAATTGTTTTGATATAATACTATTCTTATTGGAATCTTAAAACGAACAGGGATCTAGTCGATCAAAAGCCAAAATTTTAGGGGCATCTCTCCCTCTGTGTCTATAAAAAGTGGCTGATAATCTTTCAGATGGTTTTCCAAATTTGTGTCAAGACATGTGGTAACTTTGTTGACAATTGAACTTAACTGTTTATGAGATCTCAATCAAAGCCCTAACAGAGTTTAGTGCTGTTATCCTATGTTTATTTTTACTGGTTTTCCCTACATGACGTTCGTGTTAATATCGCTGCATTGAGACCATGAATTGAATTAGCCCTGTCATTACCTCTTCAACTCCATATTTTCCATGTAATCCATACACATTGTTTATCTCATCCATTACTAATCTCAAAAGCACGCTTAAATTCAAACTGTGCCACCATATAGTTGATAGTTTTGCAGGTTAAAGTTCAATGGACAAAGATTGCAAAATAAATTGGCAAATTGAGTTACCTTGTGAGAAATCAACCACAAGCACACACTTAAAAATGGTTTCTTCTCTTCCCCTCCAACTGAATTTCTGCTACCTGGTCATTGGAAGTGTAATTCTACCATTTGCTCGAGTGTTTTGCACAGTTTATCATTTGTACTGTGCCAGTATATAAGATATTTCCAATTAATTGGCATTAAGTCTAAACATTTACAAAAGTGATGGTCTACATGTTCAGGATAAATTTGACATTCTGGGATGAGTTGGCTCATGTTGCTTCTCTGCATGTAGAGAAAGGCAACCAGATATACGTTTCTGGTCGTGTGGTTTCAGATACAGTTGAAAATGATGATGGGAAGCAGCAGACCTACTATAAGGTAATACATTTTGTTTTCTACTATAGCGTCACTCCTTTGTGTGTTTCCGTGTTATCTGGACTTCAATTGCCTAAAAAGATTGTAATTGTTTAAAATCTTCGGCAGGTAGTTGTTCAGGAACTAAATTTTGTTGAGAGGGGCTTCTCATCAGTGTCCTTGAGTGACGGGGACTCTAATTCTTTGACACCAGGCAATAGCTATTTTTTTCTCTAACACAGTTATATTAAAGCAGGGTTTTGGAATCTTCAATTTTGTATTGTCTTTCCTTGCAGGTAGAAAACCTAGCAATTTTACTGGGAATAGCACAGGAAACACAGAGGAACTATGGCAAGCCTTCTTTGCTAATCCTGCGGATTGGTGGGATAATAGGAAGAACAAGGTAGTCTACTGTACTCGTGTCTGAAAGATGCTTAAATGTTTGTTCTAATGCAATCTTAGCGCGGTACTAAGCCTTGAGCAGGAGCATAATCTGGCGTCGGTTTGCACTTTCTTTGTGTGGTCACTCGTGTGCATGCATTCAAGCCCCATTTGTAAAGACCTTACTTTAGTGGATTAAGTGAAGAAGCCATATGCACTATTTAGGCTGCTCTTTGCATGTGCAGAGATGTTCAGATACCACAACTAAACCAGAGATTATGCAGTTATTAGATAAAAATATGGTGAATGACTTAGATAAATAAGAAAAATACAGAAGTGGTGTTTATTTGTTAATGTGAGTTTTGTTGGATTAAATGTTTCATCCCCGAAGATCATTGATGTGAACTTTTTGTTTACTGGATTTTAGTTGCTGTTTTATTTTATTCGTCATTAGAAAGTATTAGGTTTGTGGCCCAAATTTTAATTCCTTGCTCTTGATGCGATTTACAGCGGAACCCAAATTATCCAGATTTCAAGCACAAAGATACTGGGGAAGCTTTGTGGGTTGAAGGCAGATATAATCCATCATGGGTGAAATCCCAACTCGCTATACTGGATTCAAGAATGGAATCTCTGCAAGACCAAAACGCTAGCATGCAAATGAATTTCATGACTGGTGATCGTTTCACTCCTTTTTAAATGTTCATCATGGTGGTTGTGAGACGTGGGTCTCAACCCAGATAAAAGACAAGAAAGCTGTTGGTCTGAATCAGAAAATTTCTTTGCATGGCTTTAGGTTTCTTTGGTTGCTATAAGCCTTGGAATGGATTCAACTGGATTTGTATATCATTTGTTCTAAATTTTGGAAATGTTTCAACTTGCACTGTATCGATTGTACTACTGAATTTGCATCGCGTGCTGGGTGTACATTGAGGGGTATCAATTTTGGTCATTAACCTCAGGGAATATCATATGTTGATAGGATGATAATATAGAAATGATAGTTCCAGTGGTTGTTTATCTTTAACTGGGTTGAATAGAAGATTAATTGAAGTGAACATAAGTTGATCCGAATATTCTTGGCCGTTAAACTAACAAATGTATATTTCTTGAATAATGATAATATATGTGATAATTAATTTGGGACTGTGAAAGTGTTTAAATTAATTCGATATCTTGGGAATAGTTTTTCTAATCCTACTCACAATCCCTGAACTGTGCATATGGTACCCTTGTTTATTAGGATTTTGCAAAAATGCTGAATCATACTTGCAATCCTGGGGAGAGTGGAAGAACCCCCTGCAAGCACTAATACAATCTAATTACTTCTTTTTTATTCAATTATGACTGGAAAAACAGTCTCTTTTGCTAAAATGGCGTTTGTTTGTGAGGATCTTTATGTTTTTTTTCTGGTAACAACGATCTGATTGTTTGCATAGAGACACGGTGCATAGGATTTCTACAGCTTCCAAAAGTATCATGCTTTACTGTCAAAACCATTAAAACAAGTTTTTTTTTAGGTAAAAAACAATTAAACCAATTGATTAAGTGTTGTTATGACATCTTAAAGATTGGGAATGGATCAAACCCAACTCTGAGCAATTCTCAATGTGTGTGTATATATATATATCGAGAGAGAGATGCTAGGCTTTGTTTTTGTTTTTTCAGTTCCAATCAACACATCACATATAATTGACACAAAATAATGCATTTTGCCGTGTATATCTTCATTATTATGTAACAAAATCTTCTAAAAAACACACTTTGAAGTGTAATTTTCATCTGTACAGACACAAGTGAGAGATACATATATATATCCCGTTCTTGGGGGTTGGTTGCTAGAAAACCAAAATCAAAGAGGCGCAAACCCTGCCATATTAACTTTGATGGCATGATCTGATCACTCATCTGTGAGTATTAGTGCTATAAACCTGTAAGACCCCTAACCATCTTGGGGACTCAAGAGAGTAAGGAATAGGGATCGATCTTGGGTGAAAAGGTTTCTACAAACACCCCAAGCCCTTAGCTTCAGACCCTTTCATGATTCTCAGCCTTTTGCAAGATGTCATAAACATCTCCCATGGAACATCTCCAACCAGCATCCAATCACCATCTTTGTCTTCGTAAGTTGGTGCATAATCAGACCCATTATACCCTTCTCTCTCGGAGTACACACCTAAAACAATGAACAAAAAAGATCAGATCAAATCAATGTACCCAATAATATCTTCAAGTCCATCTTCACGATCATTCACCATATATAGTAGAGAGATTTGGTTCTTAATTACCTATGGTGCACTTGAACATATCTTCCAAGGCGTTGAGGAGCTCTGAGTAGCTTTGATAAACTTTCAGATCAATCTTTCTCAGATAAGGAGCTCCATCCATGCTCACTTTCACGTACATTCCGGCACCATCAGCCTCGGCCTTCTTTGGTTGGAGAACATTTCTCCGGTAAGATCGGACTGGTGGCCATCCTACTACTTGTGCCCTGCCATTCATAAACCTCTATATTAAGTTCATGCATTAAATCTATACACACACAAAAAACAAATATGTAGAGAGAGAGAGAGATGTCAAGGCATAAGATTACTTACTTGGTGGCAGGGGAAGGGTCTTGGTGGTCACCCTTTTGGGCATCTGATTCAGTATACATCTCTGATGAAAATCTTTTGTTTATACTCCTAATACTACGAGAAGAGTACTGCTTCTCTGGCTGGTCATCGTTCCCAGGCAAACCTAATCTTAGTTCGGTTGCCTTGAGATTAAGCTCATTTTCCAAGTTCACCGGCCTTTCCATTTCCATTGATCCTCAAGAAAACTCTGAATTCACCAACAAAACTTTTCCTTCTACCACAGTCTTTGTATGTTGCAAGTTTCCGGCGAGTTGTTGTATATATTTCCGTCTCTCTTACTGAGTTGAAAGTTTTGTGCTATGGGTGTGTTTAACATATAAGAGTTTTATAGGATGGTTATGGTGAGACAATACCTAGGTGACTTATTTTCTTTGTGCATGAATTTCATAACATAAAATTTTGCACTCCCACGCGCCTCCTCGAGCAACATTCACGAATAGATCTGTCCATATTTCTATATTATTTATATTTATACTATGTACCAAAACAATCAATTTTTAAAAAAGTGATCCAAATGTTTTTTCTTTTGATATTCTATATATTTTTTAATTTAAAATTACTTATACTCCATTTAGTAGAAAGGCTGAAAAGTAAGAGTGATGAAAAATAAGAGAGATGCACTTTCTATCATTCAAGAAAGAAAATTAAGACTGATATATTTTTCTTCATTTGTATTTGGTAAGATGGATGAAAATAAAAATGATTAATTTTTTTTTGTGCTTCCTAAGATTATGGGTGATAATCGAGTTATGTTGTGTAAGTTTCATGTCGAATTATTGCGAGTTTCATATCGAATTATTGCGAGTTCATGTCGAACATTAGTCAAACTTAACTCAACTCATTTAATTAATCGTGTCGTATCGAGTTGACTTATTTATTTTCGTGTCGTGTTTGTATTTGTATTCGTATTAATCCACATGAACTTTGAATAAAAAAATTAACGTTATTAATATATTTTCACTTAATTGAAGACATGCTCATTCTTTTTCTGCAAACTAAAAATTAACTTAAATAAATGTAATAATAATAAATAAAAATATCCTTTTTTATATAATAATATGTTACTCTTAATAAATAATTAACATTTTATATCAATAATATTAGTTAAACATGTTAATTTCGTGTTACCATACAAATAAGAAAGTATTTATTCTTAAACAAACTGATTGATGGTGTCAATTTTGGATTTGATAAAGTTGAACTGAATATAAGCCGTTTATATTTCATGTTTATGTGTTAGGTTGTTTTCAAATTCTCGTCGACTTATAATTCAATTCGTGTCATAAAATTGGTATTGAATTCGACACGTGTTGAGTCAAAAATTTTCACCCTTAACAAAGATGAATTTTTTTTAAAAAAAATATATATATAAATACACATTTTATCATTTTATTTATATATGAAATTAATGTATATATATTATATGTATATATCAAAAAATATATAGACAAATAAAATACATTTCAGCATAAATAATTAATTTTTTATCTATTTTTCTTTCGATTTTGGTGGGATTGATTTTGGTGAGTTAGAAAGAAAACTCATCAATCTACTTTTTCATCATTTCTATTTTCTTTTTTTACTATGTTTTATTTATTCTTCCAATTTTTCATCCTTCTAATTTTTCATCTTTTAATTTTTTTTATCATATCAAACGGAGCATTAATTTGTCTCTTCTAATTGAATTCCAACATGTAACAATTGTAATTATTTTTAACTTTTTAATAACTACTTTATATTTAAATTTCTCATCATCTTTATCAATTATTTTTTATTAATATTTTTAAAAAATATTAATTTAACACATTAATAAATAATTTTTTAATTACAATAAGATGAGATGGTAGTATGGATGGTGGTGGGCAAACATATGCATGGCTAGTGGCCACTGATAACGTACAAATATTATAAATTTTTTACATTATATTGGATGAACTGCAAGTTATTATACGGAATAAATTGGTAATTTTGTACATTACACTTGATGACTCCCAATCTTATCCTATTTTTAAGGTGTATAAATTCTATTGCATCAAAATTTACTCAATTGAAGTCTTACCCTTTTACGATCGGTGTTTAATTCGATTATAATATTTTATTTATTTAAATTTTTTTAAAAATTATTAAATTAACTTAAAAAAATTGACTTGATGAACTATTATCATTGAATAGATTTGAATTTCAATAAATACTAGAGTCTAAAATTAAATTAATGATAAAAATAACAGTGACATCGTTAAATTAGATTTTTTAGCTAATGTTTTAAATTTGTACAACCTTTCTATTTATCACTTAATAGAGTAAACACGCGCATGCAGCGCGCGTATGGAATGAAGTTCACTAGTGGGACATGAACAGCAAGAGATGATGGATCTTTGTTGTTCAGTGAGGGGACAAAGGTGGGACAAGCACAACCGCCGGTATTGAAGACTGTGGTCGAGGGATGAACGGCTGAGATGCATTCTACGGGGGGCTTCGTACGGAGTGAATTCAGGAACGTTGGATCACGGAGACTTTTTACAGTGAAGCAGCTCCATGTGAAAAGGTCCTACATATGTCGGTTAAAGGAGTTTGTATCATGGCCATGTGAGACGTGTGTGATTAGTGGGACCCAGTTAGGAGATTGATTGGCTTATGTGAATGGGGTACACGACCCTGTGGGCATGGCCAGCTCAGGAGTCGTAATCATCTGTGGTCCATTCTATCTCGTTAATGTGTAAATTCAGATATTCTATAAATTTGTTAGACAAAAAAAAAATTACGAATATATCGTTAGAGTTATTCCAAGATGTATGGGTAAAATTGTTAAATAATTCAATTATGTCAAGCTTGGCTTGATTTTAATTTATTTCAGATCTTTAAGTTTATTTTGTAAATTAATTGAATTCAAATAATGTGAAACCCGACTCTACTTGAATAAATTAATATTTATAGATGATTCTAAACTTATTGTCAAACGGTTCCTATTCATTGACTATTCTCTCTGTCTTTTTCCACGTTGCTTTACATCATTGACTGTTCTCTCACATTCTTTTCTCCAATAGTATGTGATAATGCACAAAAATTGATATATGAACAATTAAATCAATCGATTGTGATGAAAAATAATTAATAATAAAAAATAAAGATTGATTGGTTGAATTTAAGTGACGTAATTATTAAAAATAACAACGATAACCAAAAAACTCTATTAATGATAGAGTATAAAAGAGTTGGAGAAAGAGAGAGAGCAAGAGTATGTTCAATTCGAAGTGTGTATCCTCTGCCCCCATGTGTAGGGGGTTTAAAATTTATAAGCACAAAATCATAATTGAGGTGGTGACTTAAAGGTCAAGATATTAGTTTATTAGAGAGGACAATTATAATTAGAGATATGCACTAACTTATAGTTATGATTATCTCAATTATTACTCTCTCACGTGCATTGACTCTTTCTGAACTCCTGAGCTTTGGATGGAACTAATATCATGAGTTGAATCTGGTTTGTTTTTTAATGATTTGAGTTCAAAACTACGCATAGGTCTGATCTAAATCTGGACTCGTCAGTTTATTTTTGTGAAAATTTGAACTTTCATAGTTTGATTTTATAATTGATTATGTGAATTGTGAGATCTTTTTTGTTGAAAATTTGAACAGATGGTGAATATTAAGATTTGAATTTTACTTTTTGAGTCTAGCTCAAATGCTTGTAAAATTTGTATCAAATTAAATTTGAGCAAGAATCTAAGCTTTACAAATCTCGATTAAAACTCTAAGGGATAGTTCAAGTGATAATAAGAACGAGTTATAAATTCAGACGTCTTGAATTTGAATATTAATAACTGTTTGCGGTGTAGATGATCTGTATTTGACTAAAGAATTAGTCGAAAAATGCATAAATTAAATCAAAAAATCCTGATTGTTAAACCAAAAAAATAGGCCTCGATTGAATTGGTATTGACAAGCTTGACTCAATAAATATGTATGCATATAGTTGAGACAATTCTCCAACATTTTAAAAAAATCAGTTTTTTTTTTTTGAGAGGATAAGGATTTGCAGCTTTGCACGATAAAAGCAAGACAATGCAAGCTAGACTACCCTCAGGTTCAAGGAATAGAAGAAGAAGGATCATCTTCATCTTTAATAATAGATAGATAGATGGTACACACGAATGGCGTATTAAATGGTTGATTGTGAGATGTGGGCCTTACCACACGTGGAATTAGGTTTGAACTTGGACTTTGGGCTTACAAATTGGACCCATAACTGCAGTACGAGACCCCACATTGTTTCGCTGTCTACTTGATTGTTGGGTTGGGCCATACCATGTCCATCCCCCACTGTCATTTTGTTTTGATTGCTTCTTCCGTCTCTTTGCCCTCGTGCATTAACCAAGGGAGGGACACAGGTTTGATTGATGTCCACTTATAATATATTTATATTTATAATTTATAATAATAATCTTCTTTTTTTTTTTTTCAAATTTAAAATATCCACTTTTAAAATATGTATAAATAATTATTAATATCAATATTATTCATTTTTTAACTTGATTTAACTACATAATATTACACGTTTATTTTTCTTGTTATCATATATTATATTCATGTTCAACATTATGGTTCACTGAATATGAGAAATTATGTATTTGGCCCTCAATTTTTTTATTATTATGCTTTAGAGTGTGTAAAAACATCAAAAACGTGCTAATCGAGTTGAATCTTCTAAGCTTGGCTATGCTCAAACTTGACTCATGTTATTCAAAGATTGCTCAAGCTCAACTTGGGCTTGTCTATCAAGCTCAAAATATTGTTCAGGTTCGGCTCAAATCGAATTCGAGCCAAACTTGGGCCAAAAAACAAATCATTCAAAAAATAAATTCAAATTCACGAATTTCAAATACCCAATCAAAAAATCACAAAAATGTACACAAATGTAAATTTTAAGACAAATTTGAGCCTAAAATACCTCTAAATCACAACAAAAACATACAAATTTAAATTTATATATATTATAAATTTAAAACTTTATATGTATAATATACAAACTTNAACAAATTTAAATTTATATATATTATAAATTTAAAACTTTATATGTATAATATACAAACTTAATTTTTTTGCTAATTTTATTGAAATAACCTTAAAATTTGTAATAATTTATATGTATATTACGGGTAATTCATGCTTAAAGGCACAATGCAGTGTGAATTATTTTGAAAGGGATGTTGGTGGCCGTTGTATAATTCTATTGAGACCGTCAAATGAGTTTATTGAAGTTTGTCCTATTTTATATTATAGATTATGTAATTGTTTTTTTTTCCCAATGTTTAAA